GGGGGGGGGGGGCTTTGGAGCTCCCCTGTGTTACTATAAAGTGCTGACTGCATCCATTGGCAGGTATTGCTGTGTGAATGAACTGGGCTACAGAGGCTTGAGGAGTCCCACAATAAAGCATGCTCTGGTTTGTCATATTTTGCTCCTTGAAGTTAATACGGCAAAATGGTTTGTTTACATCAGGTAAAAGTAATTAGGTAGCTCGTCTTCTCTTGTGTATTTGTATAAACTAAAAAAAAATCAAGATTGATCAAAGTAGCACATCAAGACAGAGTCATTAAATGTTCTGCAATGTGTGCAGAGCAATACTGACAAACCCCCCCCCCCGCGATGCAAAACAAAACCAAGATAATATTGAGAAAGAGGCCGCAATGGATGGTAAGTGCTACCATTAGACCCCCACAGGGGTAATAAGCCCCACTGACTCAGATGAAAAGATGGTGTGTGTGTGGGGGGGTGATTGTTGTTTAACTACATAGAACCAATTTGTTCTTTAAAACAACATTCACACTCCCACTTTTAGCAACGTCTTATCAGTGCAAAGTAATATTATATAAAGATAAGTTGAAGTTAAAGGTGCTTTTGACTACAATCCCGCTTTACCTGCCTATTTTTATATTACACCGCCACTCATTTACAAAACGACTCCCTGTGGCGCTAGCTTGCCAGGTTCCTCCACCTTTCCATGGTTGCCAATTAACATGGGTTAATTGAAGATGCTAATTTGGAACACAGGGTGCCAAACAGCAAGGGAGCAAGAGGGCAGGGTGCAGTGTGTATTTTTAGGGAATATTATTATTATGATAAAACACATTAATAACATGGTTCCCCAGGGAGGGAAAAACTTCACCTTGAGGTAGAGAAGAAGTGAAGGAGCGAAGAAAAAAACTATTGTGCAGCAGCGTGCCATACCACCTGTCTCTGGGAGGTGATTGAAACTGATGCCTGTGCATTGGCTCTTTCTTTTCTAGATAGCCAAGAGATTGATGGCTGCCTCCCAAAGCCCCTCAAACAGCTTTAGCAGTAAATAGAGTCCATCTTCCAAACTGCCTCCACGACAGATGAATCAACGCTCGCGCCGTGATTAATAACACAATGCATTTCAGTGCGGATGCTTCACCCCCCCACCACACTCTCACATATGCACATTCAAACCAACAGCACAACAGTGAGTTTTAACCACACGCAGTGTTTACATTGACGTTTAATTCTCTCATCAATCCATATTCTCATTCCTTTAATTCCTTCTCTCGTATCAGAAGCCGAACATACTGTACATTTGCATTCTGAATGTAAATTCTGTAAAGGAATTGAAATGACAAGTTGGGCCCTGCTCAACATGTCAGTGTAATGTTTTTCGTTTTGTGAATGGGACACAGAGGAGAACAAACACACACTTTGGAGTCTCTTCTTTCCCTCATGTCACTTCCTCGTGTGTGCTCACAAACTGATCTGTGCACATGAAATATTCATCCTTCCCTTTCCTCCCCTCTCCCAAGTCCCAGTAGAAACCCACAGTCAGATTGGATTGTTTGTCTTGCAATTGCAACCATTAGTAAACATGTAATTCCCCCCCAATATTAGTGCAGTGATCAGATCGCTTAGCAGCACAGCACCAAATTCACTGACTCCCCTCCTCTGTCTCTGTAGCTGCTAATAAATTATGGAATTGTCATTTCCAAATGGAAACATTTAATAATTCCAATAGGCCTTTGTGCTATTTTTGAAAGAAAAGGGTAGAGGAAATGTGAAAGAAGCCAGGGACCTGGACAACTAACATTGCATATTCATATATTATGTTACAGATGCACATTAGAAGATAAGAATATCTCCTTCACAACCGCCTTCTTTGCTTTCCATTTATATTGTTCTTCTCTGCAGCACATTAATCACTTCCTTTATTTCTTTTTTATTTATCTATCCTTTCTGACAATATGATAATCTGGGAAAAATAATATTTTGGATATTTTTCAGTATAAGGCAGTACATTACAGCAACATTGCAAACTACAGCATTGTCCTTAAAATGTACAATTGAAATGAAGCTGCATGATAACAGTCATCTCTTCATCTTTCTTTGTGTGTGTGTGTGTGTGTGTGTGTGTGTGTGTGTGGAAGCTCAAGCCCCAACGCCTCTACTAAAGGGAGTTTCTAGACTATGATGGTGGTGGTCTGTTAATGTGGCCTTCTATGACACTTGTGTGAAGTGTTCTCTCGACCCCACACAATTCTCAGCTGCCACAGTGATGCGTACAGGATGGAAAACTCTGTGCACCAGTAAGCAGTAATATCTGAGACTAAAAAGGGTGATTAGAGAGTGAAGATGTCTGGCTAGTTATCTATATGCCAATAAATCTGCTAAATCTGACTTATATGTATTTTTTCATGGCACAGGAGAAAGTGGCTTAGAGGAAATGTAGGCAGCAGAAGTGACCTCCTTCTATGTTCTTTGAGTCCCAGTTGTCTTGACTCCGCTTTGCTTTACTGTGAAAACTGGGCGGTGGGGGTGGAGGGGAAGCAACTCAAAAACCTCATGCAACATAGGAAAGCTAGAGTGCAGTTGGTCCAACCAGAGCTTTTTTCTGTGCTGAAATAAAACATTAGAGGCCATATTCACGTTTTGTTCCCCTGCACAAACACAGAATGCACTTTCTAGCGCCATCACAGACATTATGTAACAGGGTTTATAACAAGTTCACCAGTGTTTGCAAGCTGAAGGTTATGCAAAGGAGGACATGTTAATGGAAAAAAAGTCTCCCACCTCCAAAAAAAGAATGCTTTTTTTGCTTCGCCCCAAAACTGCAGGAAGTAACAGCAACAGTCTATGATCTTAACTGCTGCATCGCTAAAAGTTTGTAGCTCACTTGGTAAAGCATTGCCAGAGGAGGATGACCATCTAGGTCTAGCAGTCAAAAGACATCGGAAAACCCTTCTGTGGAGTGACCAGCTGTGTTGGCTGTATGAGAGTGTGGGTGTGTGTGGTAGTGTGTGTATGCGTCAGGTTCATAAATTAATGACCAACTGTCAGTCCATCTTTCTGCCTTCACCAGATTTATTTTGATACACTTTAACTACACAACTGTAAGCTGAACTCACAATATTGACTGCTGGTTTAAAAATGGTGACCATTGTAAGCCATTATGCTGCCTTTAGGTGCCTGTCAAGAAGAAAACAAGTTATCATCATGAGAGAGGCTGATTGTAAAGTGTTGGACATCATAAAAGTAACACCAGTGCACATACAAATACAATACTTGGTGATAACTTATACCTTTTTCATAATGTTGGGTTTTAAGGCTTCGGTCATTCATTGATGATGTACTGGTTAGAGGGCAAATTAATTGCATGACATTGTAGGATGTTTCTACACACTATTGATTATTGAAAATAAATTCTAAAGTCTTATTGATGTGCATATGTGAAATGTTAAAGTTAAAAAAGGAAACTCATTACTATTGGTGCTGCCATCTATTCAATTACCACTTGATGGGTCATTCATGTGCGGCTTACTGTGGGCCAAACGCAACATTCTGAAATTGCTTTGGCTTGCTTCACAAGCTATTTCCCACGGCATTCGAAAGCATCATCTATTCCTGCACCCCATCCTCGTCGTCTGAC